CGGCTACGACTGATGGTGCAATAGTACAGTTTGTGTTGATCAAGTGATGTGATGTCTACAGTAATCAATGAATCATCAAGGATTACTTTCGAATGTGTACTGCGTTGCGACTGTAGTGCTAAGAAAACAGTTAAATTTTAAAAGCGCGGTTTCAACATCTAACAAATCTTCTTGTCTTTCTTATGGGAAGGAATCAATCTGTTGGAGTAAAACTTGAAATTGAAATTGAAATTCACAGCGGATGGCTTTCTTTTCAGTCTAAACAAATACAATGAAACATCCGGACCTCTTGACCATCAAATTTACACCAGCTGAATAACCTGGTTACACCAGAAACCTTTCATCATCGTATTTTTTCTAACGGTTTCAGTTCTATTTTAAATATTACCTGAAAGGCAATTCAGTTGGCTGTCTACAATTTGAGCTTTTCAACTCTTTGGAAAGAGGCCGATTTCGTCAATGACGACCGTGACGCCATCGTGAGTACGGAAAATATATCTTTTAAATTTGGTAAAAAGCGCTAAGTTTATTGCAAGCTCAAGAATTTTCAGTTGTCGATATCCTAGGTGACTGTGAATGTAATGCAATGTAATTTCGTTAGTGGGTAGTGTAAGCGTCAGTGGAAGTAACCACGTTATTGTTTGTATCATCTCAAAGTTGTATTCTCATCTCAAAATTGTCGATTTTTCACCGGCGTACACGGTGTATCAATCGGGTTATCGAATGTTTTTATGTATAAATTAGTGACCTGCAAGAAATAACTGAAACTTTATTCTCGAGTTTAAACTCTTAATTTTATTGATTGTGAAGTGAAGATTACGTTGTCTGCTTTAACTTTTAAAGGAGCTACGCGCATGCAATTCATTCGGTCATTTTTTTGCGACGTATAACAGTGTCTTCAAATATGATGACATGAATGATCATCGCAGTTTTATTCACAACTTAAGCAGTGGTGAAATTAAAGCCTGAAAAAAATTAGGCCTGAACAATAACGGGATTCGAACCCATGACCTCTGAGATACCGGTGTGGCGCTCTACCAACTGAGCTAGAAAGCTAACTGGGAGCTGGTCACTTTGTGAGTTCCTATATACCCGTAGATGGTGAAAATACGATTGAATATATGAAAGATCAAATATAATCAAATGGAAGAAAATCACAAATACTAAAATACAGTGAGAACAAATTATGAAAGGTAACAAAAGTAGACCTTTGTTGCAAACCAGTAAGAAGGATTTGAATAAAAAATGAGCATAAATTAGACACAATTTGGAAGTTTTGGGGTGTTAATACAAGTCAGTTACCATAAAAATCTGTTTCCTTTTATTGGTAGAAGACCTATCGAGGGTGAAAGTGAAATCAAGAAATGTATATTGAACTTCTCCAAGATTTCATTGTCGCGAGAGCTGTTCAAGTTATTCTTCAGGCAGTACAGCTGGCTGCCTTATGTCCTACTGATAATTGTCCGACAGGCGGATTCTTCTTCGCTCCTGGAAGACACATGGTAAACAACCACGCCCTTCTTGGTCACGTGTTTGATAACTTGACAGTCAGAGAGCCAGTCGAGTGCTTTAGAAGATGTCGGTGTGACTGTCGCTGCATCTCTTTCAACTATCTGACGCATGTGATCGAAAATAACTGTGAACTGAATGAAGAAAGCAGACATACCAATTCCAGCGCGCTGAAACCTCTGCAAGGATCCCAGTACTATGATCTGGTTGATAACTACGACATTATTGTAAGGAATTTATTTGACTGCTCTCCCCCACCCTCGCAGCCCCGCTAAAATATCGACTGGTCTTGAATTTTTAAGTCAAATCCTAACCCTAACCCTAAGTGATTTTAATCCCCTTTTACATAAAGTGTTTAGTAGCTAGCTATTTAAGATAAGAAATTGTTTTCGGATATGTGTTGTTAATGGTACTGTTGGGAGTCAATGGCTTTCCTCGCTGAGGAAATTAACTAATTAACTCTAGCTTTCAGAAATTGAAAAAAAAAAAAGAAAGAATTCGTGGACTATGTGGTGTCTTTCCCTACTTGTCTATTTATCGGTATGGCTGCCATGTGACAATACGACTCTGTGCTTCAACACACCGCTCCAACAACGCAGAAGTGATCGCCTAACTTTATATCATTATAAGTTGCTTGAATTTATCTTATCACCAGAGGAGTAGAAACCATCTCTAAGTTCTCAATTTGTGTACCATTTTGCCAGGCCGATGTTCCTCATACCGAATGCCAGAACGGATGTTGTGGAAGTCAGCCATGCCTTAACGGAGGAACCTGTCACGAGACTTGTGATGTCACGGGCAAGAGATTCACGTGCTCATGCAATCCACACTTCACGGGAAGATTTTGCGAAACCGGTAAGCTGAACAAAGAAGTTCCATTTTGGGCTGAGTTTTTAGATCCATCTTTGTCTGTTGCAATCTTAGCCACCCATCCCTGTTCACTGTGGTCCTTTTCAGTTTATTGCCTCTTCAGGTGATATTTTCTTCCGTAGCTATTGGATTCAGACCTTGTTTCAGTTTTAGGCTTCTTTCGATACAGCCTTTTTTCATCGCGAAAGTGATGTTTTTATCTTTGTTCCACTAAAGTCAAACTGTGCTGTTTTGAATTTGTTAAAGGAAACCTGCAGACAGGTTTTACTGGAAGGTTATGAGGTCAGTGTTAGCAATGCACGCCTCAACCGTCGACTCGATCGCTCGTTTATTGGTGAAGCGTAACCGTACGTTTGTTTGTTTTATGTTTCCGACACACATGCACAGAAAAAGGAACAAAGAAGAGGAAGAAAGTGACAGGAAATGGCGGGAGGAGGGGNGGGGGGGGGGGGGCTAAGAAGAAACCATGAGGCTTGTGATATTAAACCCTAAATAACAATACTTAAAACATAACTGCTGTGTCGTTCGTTAGGTATGACGGATTATGTCAGATGTGATATCTATCATGAACCATGCTACAAACCGAACAATAAGCAAGCAGTTTCAGTTTCAGGGTAGTTTTTGATATTTGACTTGTCTTGAATATGTTATTACTAAACATTATCCACAGGATGTTTCAAAGCGTTTGGAGAGAAGGTAAACTGGTTCGAAGCTCAACAAACCTGTAAGACTCTAAACGCTAGTCTTGTGTCGATACACAGCGCCGAGGAAAACAATTTCCTTCTGGACTTCGTTCGTCTTCAAGTTGCCTCGAACACGTCGGCAGCTTGGAGTGGACTCAACAAATTGACAGATCGAGACTTTGAATGGGTTGATGGATATAACGTGTCATTCACCAAATGGCTTCCTGGTGCACCATTTGATGAGGAAGATGACAACTGCACCGTAGTATTTGTGGATTATCCACCAAGCGGTTATTGGAAAAACGTAAATTGCTTCAATATCAAACGGCATTATATCTGTAGCTGCAATTGCAGTAGCAAGGATTGCACTTTTGTTTGAGCCATCTCAAGGTCAGACACGTAATTAAAGTGTTACTTTTGATAATTCCATTTATTTATTATTTGTCCCACGCTGTGGCTATATTCCGAGTCAGTCTATAGTGAGTCTTCCATTTTTGCCTCGTGTCCACGTGACTTTGGTCACGTGAACACGAGATTATGCTGTGAATTTGGAACATTCCTCTATAACCATTCTTTGGGTTCTTACTGTAAGATTCCTGTGAAGGATGGTAGATAGGTAGGTAGCGGATAGACATGGTTCAGGCACAGGGCACCCAGACAAACTGTTTCTGTGCTGTGCACATTGACATTTTTATAACCAATGTATGGGATTTACAGAGCACCTCGCAGAATTGCTTAAAATCACGAAAATATGAACAAATACTTGCTCAATAAAAGTGAAGATATATCATATATATGGTGTACTGTCGTTCTTTTGGCTCAAAATTGCCAATTTGAGAAGGTTTGAAGGATTCAGTTTACGTTCGCAGGTTACTATAGATATAATAATGAAAGTTTGGAAAGTCCCAACGGCTCAAAACTGGAACAGCTCCAGCGCCGAGGCGGTTTTCGACCTGAAAATCCCATCGCTCGGCTTCCAAACTAAACAAAAGAGGAAAGTTCCGCGAATCTTCTTGGATCATTCAATCGAAAATTCATCCAAAAGCCCACTACTAGCCTTCGAACAAAACCCAGGGCCGAAAACTTCCAAGCCGTCGGAATGCGTAGCGACAAAAAGTTGTGCCGGAGGGAAAGCGCTATTCCCTAGCCTCTGTCTGACTGGATACAGTTAAACAATGGCCGTTAAAAGACCTTCCCGAGAATAGGGTGGCACCAGGTGGCATAGGCAAAACCAATACATGAGCAGTGATGTCAATGGCGCGATTCAACCTAGGGAACCTTAGGCAGTAAAGACGAAAGGCGACGCATATTTAAATTGCGTCGTCAAATTTTAATATGGGTCGACATAGTTGAATTTATTTAAGAATAACTTAGATCTGTTTGGTATATCTACCGCGTATAAAGAATATTATGTCGAGAAAGCGCTCATCGCAAAGATAGGGAATTTTTTATAGCTTTAAAAAAAAAGAAAACGCCTGGAATAGGGATTTTCAAATCGTTGTTTTGCAGAGGATTGCAAATTAATTCACGTGAATTAATTTCGTGCAGAGATTATTGTTGTGCCGTATTTAGTCTTTTGTTCGGTGACATTCTTGGGCGTTTAATTCCTGAACATCGGCTACCATTACATTTTAGCCGCGACAGTGTTGTTCTTACACTTGGCGGGGATTAGTCGACGCAGTTCATTCGTAATTCTACCGGAAGCTGCCAGCTCTCATGCCAGCTTGTACACAGGCTGGCATGAAGCACTGTCTAAACTTTGAAGCAATATGCAAAGTACCCGGAACGTATTCTCGCTGACTGGTTTTCGATTCTCTGATATCAGTATCATTTCAATCCATGAAATAACGCAACAAACAACAAATTTAAGCTTAAAATCACGGTCTCAAATACAGAGCCGCGTAAAAGTTCCTGAAATGGAAGACATGGAATTCTAAACTGTGCGATAATCTGTTTTAGGAAACCCTTTTAATAAAGGTAAATACTGAAGTCCCAAAAACCTAAATGCAACCCTAACATAAGTAAAATCTAGTGATCACATTGAGCAGATTAAAAACTATCACATAATGCGCACTTTCCGAGAGTAAGCAAACAGGTACAAAAATTAATTGTCAATAAGGGTGGAATCGGGCCAGATCGAGGCAGATCGAATTTTATTCGAAAAATTGACGGAAGTAGAAATGTATCCTGTCTACTTGATCTAGCGTTACGCTTGCATTACACTATTTTGCTAGTTATCCCGGACGTAGGGCATTTAATCACCTAATATGATGCTAACATGGGGCAGTTAATTCGACCAAACGAAAATTCCAAATGTGAAATACCGGGGGGGAAGGGTGTTAATTAATTTACCAGTGCACAACAGGCTGTTAGAACTCAGGTCCGAAAATTTGCATCTGCAGTTAATCATACATTTAGGATGGATTAGGAGAACAAAAGGCATGAAAAAATTATGTTAACACGGCTGTCGAAGAACAAAACAAATTCAGTCGTCCCTTAATGTGTTCACCTCACCACTTCTCCACCGAATGTAATACGAAAAAACGCGACTAATGAAAATTCTCCATATAAATTTTTCCTCATATATTAAGTGTTCTTATGGCTGTTACAGAACAACATATGATAGTCTCTTGTTTTTCATTTTGAAATGTTTTGCACGTCGGTTAATTGTTATGCGCAACGTTTTCTTTAAAACCATTGTCTTTTCAGTGCCCAAGGGTATTGTAACTATTCTGTTAAAATTAAAATGCCACATTTAGCCCAAAACTAGAGACAATATGGTTTTAATACTCCGACAGCATATTGACCAAAGATGAATATTCATTATCTTTCTATTTGGCGATGGAAATTTCAGGGAAAGCAATAACAACGCAACGTAATCTTTTTTTAAACCACCTGCTGATAAAGAACACAGAAGTCGAGAGCTAGTGGAACAAGTAATTTCACACTAACAATTGCGACCGACAAAGGATGAAAAGCGACTACATTCTCTACCGAGTTGAATTCGACTGGATTGCGGAAACTTGTTGTGAATCTGATCAAAATTTGGCGACAGTTATCGTCCGATGAAAATACGACGCGTTTACGAAGAACTTCTGAAGCAGAAAAAGCGAGCAGTGCTTCGATTGAAGTGCCTTTCAGGGGCGACCGCTTTTCTGTTCTTCGCCGTTTTTCTCATGGCACTTCTTGGTATAGATGTCGTTCAAAAACTCGCCAAAGGCTTCGATTTTGAGAGTGGAACTTGTGTCGTAAAAGAATCAATTTTTACTGGTGAAAATGTCAGCTGTAACTGTGGAATGCGCACTTGTTTCAGTCGTTATCCTTGTTTGCGTGTTTTTGTAAGAATATCAGTGGAACCAGAGCAAAGCGAACCCGTCCTCTTGCACAACACTTTTTACGACCTCATCGGATCAAAAGTAAGTCGCTGCTTGTTTCACTGATGTATTATCGTGAGCGCGTATTTGCTGCGCCAGAGTTTAATTAGCAGCTCAAATTTTTAAGGGTGAACGTGTAACGGATGGAAAATATTTCAGTTTGGATTCAAATTTATACTTTATGACTTCGTTTGGCAGTTATAAATGCACATGCAATGCGTAAATTCTCTAATCTGAACTGTAAAGTTGACGTGTCGCCAAGAGCTCAGGGAGGATACAAACCAGTTGGTCAACAAAGCGGGTTAAACAATACGCAGTGAATAAAGCTCATTGAGAAAAAGATATTTGAATTTCACACTCATGATAAAGGGCGATCACAAAATTGAACAAAATTTCGCGTCATTTGGAATTTTTTTGCCATGACATAAAAAGCAAATCCTAACGCAAAAACAGAGTGAATTATCTGTGTATACTTTATGCAAACTAATTTATAGTTTGTTTGTTTACATCACGGCTAAAGGCAAATTTATGCAAAAAGATTATCAGGAACATTAACCTGCTGAGTTATATGGCAGTTGGATTTTTCATAAAATTTAACTACTCCACGCTCGACAGCGCATCTTGAAAAAGTTGGCCAATTCTTTCAAGCTCACCTTTCGTTTTCAGTCTTGATATACAGTCTTATGGTCTATTTTAGTTTGATTATTTCTCTGCTTTGTTTTTGTTTCCTGTCTTGAAAATATTACCATTTAGAGGAGTCCTTATAGTCTCTTTTAGTATGATCATTTCTCTATTTTGTTTTTGTTTCCTTTCTTAAATATTTCTATTTTGAGATTGCCTTCAAAAAATGCGAGGCTTTTCATTTTGACTGAAGCCCCGTTCACACCACGCCGGGGGAATTTGAAAACGGAGGTTTCACTCTGAAAACGCATCAAATGTTTTTCGTTCACACTATACACCGGAAAAATTTGAAAACGGGGGTTTCACTCTGAGAACGCATCAAATGTTTTTCGTCCACACTACGCTGGAGGAATTTAAAACCGCAACAAATAATCACCGGTCATTTTGGATTTGTGTCTGAGGAAAACTTGGACAGGGAATGATCACATGATCATCATTTTCGAAAAGTTCTGTTTTCAAAATTATTTCCGATAAAAACGAACTGAATTAAAACGAAAAGCCGGCGTTTTCAAATTCCTCCGGTTTGAGGAGCGTTGTCGAAAACCTCCGTTTTCCGGCGTGACGACGTATTGGTGTGGACGGTAGGCCTAACCATAGAAATAAAGCTGCGTTTTCAAGTTTATCCGGCGTAGCGTGGATGCTGCATGAACTTGTATTGTTGCACGGTGCAACAAAGCGTTATATTTGGTCAAGGTAATATCATTGTCTTAAATCTCTTTCTCTTGTATTAATTGCAGTGTACTTACGGACCACCTTGCAAAGCAAATGAGAAAGAAAACATGGCCTCCGTACTAGACTTTAAGAATCAAAACGGACAGAAAGGAACAGTTTTAAAATGCTTCTATGACCGAAATGAACCCACAGAAGTAATCCTGGATGACAGCGCTCACAAAATGATAACCTTTCACGCCTTTTTCTGGCCGAGTTGTGTCTTCTTCATGGGTTTATGCCTGCTGCTAAAGGTCTATTGCTCGAAAAAAGCTCAGAAAAAGCAAGTGTTCATATCCGAGGATATTTTGTGTGAAACAATTGCTAATAATAATGTATCTAATTATCATGAGACCAACGAAAGTCTTTGACAGATCACTCAAAAAGGCTGTTTAATAATAAATCATATTGAAAACACGACGGCTACGTAGTACTTTAACTATCCTGCGAGACAGAGCGAAGGGAATCTTTGTCTCGCAGAGTAACTTCGTTAAAACCAGTCACCGTAAACACAAGTAAGTCAGGTATTCTTACAGATGCCTTGTGTGAAAGCATTTTTTGTTGTTCACAATTAAGACAAATGCCCATCGATCGAGCGAGCTATGTTTAAATACCGTGTTGCGTGCTGTCTGGAAGATAAGTGCTGGTGCATTGAAAACAGCAAAAAAATTGGATTAACTCACGTGATAGGAAAAGCTGGCTCGACTTTGTCTTATAAAGCAAGAGAGGACACGACAAGATTTCATGATAGTCGCTACTATTGCCTTAGATAGGGGTCAGAGCCACCTTAAAGTTTTGGAAATATATGGTGGCTCTGAACCCCATGTACAGAATGTTTTTACTCTGCCAAAAGTTGCGTCTTATTATGCTTATTAAAATTTGATAATACATAAAAAATTTCAAGGTGCAGTGCCCTGAGAAATTGGTTTCATTGAATTTGTATGAAGCAAACAAGAAATTTAAAGAAGCTTAATACTGGGCGCCAAAGGGTTAACTCCTAAACAATCACTTGCTATCGGGATTATGCGAGGAATACAAATGTAACGCTAAATCTGCTTTGCGTGCATGATTAACAGTCGTCTGTTACCTTAAGGGCGTATAAAATAAATAGCGGGGTTAAAATAGAAATTGGTCGTCATCTGAAACGTCACTTGAGAATTATTGCTAGAAATTGTGGTTGAGGGGTTTAGAGGGATCTGATCAGCCAATCACCCGAACGAGCCATCTCCTCGCGCATTTAACCTCCCACCCTCCCCTCCCTGTCCTCCTGCTCTCTATGGATAAGGCAGATGACCAATCAGGATTCCTGTCTCTCGAGGTCTCAACATTTTACCCTCTCTCTCTCTTCTCAGCACCATAGCGGTGTTGTTGGAAGAGTGAAGTATGGGGTGAGCCACCGTTACCATTTGTATTTTAACGAAAAGGAAAACCAGAAAATTCGGAGAGAAAACTTACTCCATGCTAGAGGAGTAACAAAACGACCGACTGCCTAATTTGAACTTGGGGTCAACAAAGGAGGGATGGCGTACCCAAAAAACTCATCCATCTTGCCCTCCAATACTTTTCAAACCCAACATTTAAACAAAGCCAAACATCTAAGGAAACAAACAGAAACGAGAAATGTTGTTCCGAAGCACTCAACCGAAATAGACTTGTTTGATCGGAAGTTGTCAAGGAACAATTGAGAAATGTTTACTTTGAATTCTCAATAGCCAAGTAGACGAGTGTTATTTCGCATTGGAAACGCTCTACAACAAAAGTTTATATAACTGAAGCTATCTGACCTAGAACTAACCTGGGTGAAGGAAGAATACCTTTTTCGCAGCGGATGATATTACTAGACAAACGGCGACACGGGAAAGCACAACGCAATAGCTATATAGCTATTTCACTGGTCGCGCAATGAGCGTTTTACAGTCAAAATTATTCGGAAAGTAACAAAGATGCCGTCCCAACTTCCTCTCAACATTTCCCTAACTCCCTCCCAACCCAAAATAAGGGGTATCGAATGGTTTCATTCAGTTTAAAGGTGCTCGTAAAATTCCGCGTTTGCTCGAATTGCTCGCAAAAATTAACTTAGTGCTCGGTTACTCGTGCTCGCAAATTATTTGCCACTGCTCACATGCTCGGATTCTGAAGTCTGGTAGCTTTTAGCTTCTTTTCGTTGTGTGGTTTGAAAGTTTTAGATCTCCTTGATCGATTAAGCGTCCACTCTTCCAAGCGACGCACGTGAAGCTACATCAAACAAGGTATAATTGGCTGCGGCTTATGGGATTGGTTGAACTGTCATAAGACCTTAACTCTTTGAGCCCTAATTATGCATATACGCATAATTAATGATCGTGCTCGTTGTTTCACTTGTGACGTCATCAATTTAAATGTCATCAGATATTCTTGATAAGCAGATAGTAGAAATAGGCTAGACCTTTCCGTACAATGGTCAGGTTTAGATATCGACGACATTCCAACGTCACAAATCGAAAAACAACGTCATCAGTTTTGGTGCAAAAACGGCGGTAAAATGGTCCACTACGCCTATGATTGATCAAGATCCATTTCTAGGCTTCGCCCGTAATTAATATCCAACTTTTCACGGCAGCCAGAAAGAACATGCAACGCAAAAGGTAGCCAGAGTAAAAGGGCCGCGAAAAAAAGAAAGGAAAGAGGCAACAAACAAAATTGAGAACGGGTAATGGCAAAGCAAGAAGAAGTCCAAATTTTGGTTTATGCGCATGCCCGGAATTAAAATATTGCTCAATTTTGTACGTAATCCTCGAAAAATCTCTCCTTTTGGTAAAAAAAAAGAATCTTAGCAAAACGTAAGCTGGCTTTCAAATTTTTGCTTCGGAATTTTGACAAATTTGACCCAAATTAAACATCCCCTGTGACTCAGGCAAACGCAAAGGAAATTGAAACGAGCTATTCGTTTGCAGTAAATATGGCTCACAGAGACCATTGTTAGCAACAGTTGTGTTAAAACTGTACTAAAATAACAAGTTTTGCTAGATTGCCGCCGATTATACTTAAGATTAAGTAAAACAACGACAGAAAACAACAATTGAGCTGTCTCTGTTTATGATGAGAAGCTTTATTTTTGTAAAAATGCTCAATTGTTCAAAAAACACTTACATGCAGTGTGGTAACGCTCGTTCTCCGGTCATCTCAGCGAAGTGAATCGACGAGTGGTCACTTTAAAGCGTGCTCTGATATTCTCTTCGTTTGCTCGGAGTAGAACCAGTGAGTCTTTCTAACTTTTACGCTAGTTCAGGCAATCTTGTAGCAAGCCGTTGCAAGCCGTAAATAACTGTAGCTCCTTTCAAATTCAACTCAGCATTTCGCATTTTCATCCGCATGCAAGCTTTGAGCAAGCTTTGTTTCGTAATTTCCATTAGAAAAGTGCATGTTTTCATGAGCCACAATACGGTCAGATTCCTCTGGACTACAAACCTTTAGCTGCCTTTAGATCCTTATTCGTATATGTAATAGGACTACATGCTATCCAATTTGGAAATAATTGGATGAGAAAAATTCCGAGGACAGCCCAAATTGGACGAGGCCGTAGGCCGAGTCCAATTTGGCTGTCAGAGGAAGTTTTTGAATCCAATTATTTCCAAATTGGACAAGCATGTAGACCTATTACCTACTAATTATATAGCATCCAAAAGCAGATGAACATGGCGAACTTACGAACTCGTAGTGCGGTTGTAACTCTTGCCGTTGTTCTTTAGATGGCGGTCTAAGGAGCCTTGCATAACAGCAGGGCTATCTGGCTCGTATTCATCTCCGTTTTGCAGTCTTGTCTCGGCATAAAATCGGCAAAGAACGTCGTCAAGCTCGTCTTCGGGAATCTCCTCAACCTTTCCCACTTCGCTTCGCTCAGCACACCCAGGTTTTTTGTGCTTCTTTGACAGTTCTAGTTGCGATTATTCTCCCTCATCTCGAGTAAATCAGTC